CGGTGCAGCCCTGCTGGGAGCCCGGTTTCCTGGCAGCCAGGCACAGTGGGCAGGTCTGACCTGTGAGAGCCGCGGTTACTAACCCCCTGGGGCCTGGGCTGGTTGCAAAAGGGGCTGGTGCTCCTGACGCAGTCTGCTTTCGGTCTCACTCACTCTCCCAAGCTGGTTCCCAGGAGAATGGGGGAGCTCGGGGAGGGTGCGTCACCCCCGCCCTGGGCACCACTCTGCTCCCAGGCGGAAAGCAAGAGAGGCACACCCCCTTCGGGCGCGCGCACACTCACACACCAGCCCGGGCCCGGCATGCACGCCCGGTGCAAGGAAGCACACGGAGAGAGGCCCCCTCACAGATCCACACAGAATCGAGCCTCTGCGCGCACAAACACGTAGACACACGGCCCCCAAGAAACTAGGCCCGACCTAGATGTGCACACCCAGATGCACACATAGATTTGTGTATAATATACACTGCTGAGGGCAGACACCATGTGGGTGCACAGACACACACATTCAGAGCTATACGCATCTTGCATAGAGACGCCCACACTGACAGACACACACAGACTTGCACACATATGGAATTATTCAGAGTTTCGCACAAGGACAATACCCACTCTCAATATGCGAAAGCAAAAACAGGGACACAGAGAAATGTACGTGAACACAAATATACGATATACATACACCTTGTCATCATTTAGTATTTATTGAACACCCACAATCTGCTAGTCATGCTCCGCCAGAAAGAGAACCCCCCCCCCGCAACACAAGTCATACATACACAGAAACCCAAGCCCTCTCCAAAGAGCCACTTGGGATTATATGGGGTCCAGTCTCCAAACCAAAGATGAAGAACTGTTTTTCTGTAGATGGTCACCAACCCATGGTGGAAAAACTAACCAAATGCTGATGTAGTTATCATTTATAATAATAATAAAAAAAAGTTAAAGGAAAACAACCTCCATGCTCCAAATTGGGCTCTAGTTGAAGAAATTATGATCAGGGTGAAATAGTAAGCAAATATATACATACGGTTACAGCCTCTGGTCAGAGTTTATAATGACATGAAAAACACTGTTAAATTTTATTTATTGGGGCACCTGGCTGGCTCAGTCAGTGGAGCAGGCAACTCTTGGTCTCGGAGTCATGTGTTCCAGGCCCACATTAGGCATGGAGCCTACTTAAAAAATAGTAATAGAGGTGTCTGGGTGGCTCAGTCGGTTGAGCAACCGACTCTTGATTTCAGCTCAGGTCATGATCTTGGGGTCATGAGATCAAGCCCCGTGTCTGGCTCCAAGATCAGCGTGGAGTCTGCCTGAGATTCTCTCTCCTTCTGCCACTCATGGGCACTCTCTCTCTTTCTCTCTAAATAAATAATATTTTTAAAAATGCTCCTAAAAAAATAAAAAATAAAAAAAATAAAAATACTACTAATAGGGGCACCTGGGTGGCTCAGTCATTAAGCGTCTGCCTTCGGCTCAGGTCATGATCCCAGGGTCCTGGGATCGAGTCCCACATCAGGATCCCTGCTCCGCGGGAGACCTGCTTCTCCCTCCCCCACTCCCCCTGCTTGTGTTCTCTCACTGTCTCTCTCTATCGGATAAATAAATAAAATCTTAAAAAAAAATACTAATAATATTTTTAAAGTATTTTAAATTTATTTATCTATTTTTAAAAAATTTTACCTTTTAAAAAAGATTTGTTTTAGGGGGAGAGAGAGAGAGAGAGAGAGAGCACATGAGCACGGGGAGGGGCAGAAGGAGAAAGACAAGCAAACTCCCCACTGACTGTGGAGGTGGATGAGGGTCTCGATCCCAGGACCCTGGGATCATCACCTGAGCCAGATTAACCGACTGAGCCACCCAGGCGCCCCTTAGAGATTTCTTTTTTTTTTAAAGTGATCACTATACCCTACGTGGTGCTCACAATCCAAAGATCAAGGGTTGCATGCTCTACCAACTGAGCCAGCCAGGCACCCCTGTTAAAATTTTAAATGAAAAAAAAATGTATATATAGCATGATCACAAAAAATTTTTCAAAAATATGCATAGAACAGGCTGGAAGGAAGTACATCAAAATATTACTATTGATTATCTATGGGAGTTAAGACTATTACTAAATTTTTAATCTTCTAGTTCTTCAGATTTTCTAATTTTTCTATGAGTATTTATTATGGGAAAAATAAAACATTTAAAAAATCAGCTAAAGGGGGCACCTGGGTGGCTCAGTCGTTAAGCGTCTGCCTTCGGCTCAGGTCATGATCCCAGGGTCCTGGGATCCAGCCCCGCATCGGGCTCCCTGCTCAGCAGGGAGCCTGCTTCTCCCTCTCCCACTCCCCCTGCTTGTGTTCCCTCTCTCGCTGTGTCTCTGTCAAATAAATAAGTAAAATCTTCCCCCCCCAAAATAAAGAAAGAGAGAGAGAATGGAGAGAGGGGGAGAAGAAGGCAAAGGAAGGAAAGAAATAAAATAGATATTATAAAGAGAAACAAAAGCAGAGCAGGTCAGTGGGTTGGGAACCAGACGTAAATCCCACCTGTCCTGCATAGGCTTGGTCCCTACCTGTCCAAGGGCCGTTCCAGCAAGCCATTGCTCTTAGGCCTATCTCCAGGCTTCCATGGCACATATCTGGAGCTGAGCTTGACCCTCAGGGTCCCCTCCAGGGCTCACTGGTTGGATTTTTATCTTTTTTTTTTTTAGATTATTTATTTATTTATTTGAGAGAGAGAGAGAGAGAGAGAGAGTGAGAGAGAGAGAGCCCAAGAGGGGGTAGGGTTAGAGGAAGAAGCAGACTCCCTGCTGAGCGGGGAGCCCGATGCGGGACTTGATTCCAGGACTCCAGGATCATGACCTGAGCCGGAGGCAGTCGCTTAACCAACTGAGCCACCCAGGCGCCCGGATTTTTATCTTAAGCACTTAAAGGCCAGCTACAAATATTGCCTGAGCCCAGGCCCCTGCAGGAGCACAGGGGCATGAAGAGGACTTTCTACTTCGCTGGGGAGATGCAATCTGAGTAAGTGACCAAATGCAGAGTGCCAAGAGAGCAGTGTGGACGCTAATACAAGTAAGAGACACTTTCTGGAAAAGGGGAGTACTGAAAGATGGTTAGAAGAGAAACGGCATGGGTGGCGGGGGCGGGGGGGTACTTTGCAAACTAGAGGATTTGGCAAAAGCAAAGACTTGGGAGTCAGAAGTCAAAAAATAATCAGGGATCAGGGAGTGGGATCACTGGAACCAGCTGGCCTGGTCCAGTTTGATGTGGGATTTGAGAAGGCCTTGAATGCTAAAATGAGGGCCTGGGAGTTCACCACTGGCCCAGAGAGCTGTTAACAGTCCTGAGTCGGAGAGATGCCAGAGGGGAAGGCAGCAGTCCCAGGGGAAGTGGATGGAGCACAGCAGGGGCAGGGATGGGGAGGGCAAGGCTAAGAGAGGTGCTGACCAGGCTTCGTGACCCAGCAGAAGAGGAGACATAGTGACACGGATGTGCTGGGGCCACCAGAGAATCAGGGAAGAAGCAGGAGGTTGGGAGCCTCAGAGATGACCTTTAGATTTCCGTCCCCTACTCAAAGGACCTCTAAGGCCCCCTGAAGCAGTTTGACAACCTCTAATCCACCATCCTGAGTCTTTTGTTTTGCAAATGAGGAAACTGAGGGACACCAAAGGGAAATAATTTGCCTAAGGTCATGGTTGATGTCAGAGTCTGAACTTGAACCCAGGTCTCTGCTCCCCCGGGGGTGGGGTGGGGTGGGTGGGCCGTGTGTTGGGCTGGGTTGAGGTAAAAGAGGCTACGGAGCTGGGGTGGGAACCGCCCCCCCCCGCCGGGCCCTGGCTGCAATGGTGCAGCTCCAGCCCCTCCACCTCAGGGGCAAGGGAACAAAGGGAGACGAAGTGGCTGGAGCTCTAGGGGACCGGCCCTGGTGGGACAGGAGCTGGACCGTCTTGGCTAAAACTAAATTTGGGGATTATCTCAGGTTTCGCTTGGCTAGGATTTCTGTCCCTCAGCCCTGCTCTTTCTCATACCCAGGCAGCTGTTACTTCCTGGAGAGGCAGCTGGGCTGGGACAGGGTTCACACTCACCTGGCCCGGCAGTTGCCTAGCAGGTGTCCCAGGTGTGCCTTAGAAATACCTCTCCAAAAGAATAACATTTACCCACGTATATACAGAACTCTAGAGTTCACTAAGTGCTCTTACAGCTACTTGGTAGTAATACCTCACTTGAGATATTACCTTTTTTCTCTGGGGCTCACTTTCCTTATGGGTAAAATAAAGTGTGTTTCCCCCCGCCAAGGTGCCCTTTAAAGTTCCTTCCAGTTCCAATTCCAGGGAATGTTCTCTGGATCCCTGTTGCTCTCCAAGTCGTCACCCAACAAACCCTCACTCCACGGGATTTCTGGGACCAAACGTCTATTTAAATTGACAACCGGCACCTTGACCTTCGGTCGGTCCTTATGTGGACTTTGAATGCCAAGACCAAACACGAGGTCCAACCAACTTGACCCAGGAGTTTGGCCAGTGGTTGAGGTTTAGGCTGTACGGGGTCCCTTCATGCTTGGGCTCTGCACCAGCTGCCCCCCCCAACCCCACAAGATCCTGTGGACAGTTGGAAGGATCAGAGCAGGAAGGTTCAGAGGGCCCAGCATCGCCCCAGAGCCCCAGCGCTGAGCAAGGTGCTCTAGAAAGGAGGGGCAGAGGGGCGGGGCAACACCCACCTGGTGAGGTCATGGGAAAGCAGCTCTGGCGCTGACACCTGGGGAAACCCGTTCCTAGGCTGCTTCCCACACTAGCTCTCCTGGGAACCGGCTAAGCCCCAAGCGGGGTGCCCCAGACCTGCCCCCCCCCCGCAAGTCCAGTTCCCAGCACACTGTCTCATCTAGTCCAGCCCCCACCTGTCAGTCTGGCCTCAGTCCTTCCATGCCCAACCTACCTATCCTGGGTGCTGGGCCTTGAAGAGGGCTCTTAGAGGGCAATGGGCAGACAGCTCCAGGAAATGACACAGAGACAGCAGCTTCAGAAACTTAAGGTTTTATTTGTAGATTCTGCACTGCTCTACCTTCTAGGCTGTGGCCTTGGAGAAAAGTGACCCCAGCCCCTTCTTCCTCCAGGCTCTAGGTCACAGCTCCTCCCCCTCCTCCGGGTGGGCCTTGCCTCTCGCTTCCTGCCCTGCTCCTGGCCCAGCCAGTTTGGGCAGTGCCTAGGGAGCCCTGAGCCCCAGTTCTTCCCAGGGACCAGCCCCGCCCTCCCGGGCCCTGGGGGCTGAGGGCAGCCCAGGTGTCAGCCTTGCTCCTCAGCTGCAGCACTTTTCTGCTCTCCTTGCTCTTCCTCCTTCCAAACCTAGCCTTCTGACCTGCCTCCTCACCAGCCTGCCTCCTGTCCCAAGGCTCCAAGGCCTCACTTTCTGCTCCCTCTCAGTCTCTCCTTGACCTCTGTCTTACCCAGTTCATCCCGAACTGCTCTCCAAATCAGGGCTGGACACCCTCCTGCCCCAAAATGCCTGGCTCTTCCTCCCCCGCCCTGTGGCAAGGCGGGGACCACCACAAGGGGTCCTAATTCAGCCAGGCTGACCTGCGGGCTCATGGTAAAAAACCGGGAATTGGATCCCTAACTGCTTGGAGGTGGCTGGCACTGTTAGGACCACCCCACGAAAATCCAAGTGCTGGGATTTCTCTGTGAGCCTTGACCAGAGATCCAAATCAGAGCCCCTCGCATATGAGAGTGGGCAGTTAGAGGCCTGTGTCCTCACAGTGTTCAGATGGGAACTGAGTCCCATGGGGCGGCCTGGCCCTGCCAGTACCCTCCTCAAAGGCTCCAGTTTCCAGAAGTCTGTGGTCTTAGGCCTACTGCTCCCTAGCTGCCATAGCTGTTCAAACAAAGCAAAAGAACTTCTTCCAGCGGCAGCGGGAAAGGGTACGAACACCTTTGGCATTCAGTTTCTTCTCCAGCCGGGCTTTGTGTTCAATGGCACTGAGAATAGCCGAGTCAAACACCTCTTTCAAGTTCTTCTGCGTCAAGGCGGAGCACTCGAGGTAACAGGAGGCTCGGATTTTCTCGGCTAGACCCTGAGCCTGGGGTTGGGGCACGGGGCCCTCCCGGCCCCCCTGGTCCAGCTGAATCAGTACATTGACATCGTCCCTCAGGTCAGCCTGGGTACCCACCAGCAGCACGGGTGCCTGGGGGTTGTGAGTGCGGATCTCTGGCAGCCATTTCTCTGTGATGTTCTGGAAAGAGCTGGGCTGCACCACGCTGAAGCAGGCCAGGAAGACATCGGTATCCGGGTAGCAGAGGGAGCGAAGGCGGTCAAAATCTTCCTAGGATGAGAAGGCCTGATCATTAGTAGGGTTATTCCCTGCCACAAGTAATGGGAATTTGATTGTCACCTGGGGTTGCAGACCTGAGACTCGGAAGGGCCCAAGACCTTCTCCATTCCTTATCCATCTAGGGTCCTCCCAGCCTCCAGCCCACCTTCTCCCAGACCATTAGAGGCCGCCCCCCATTTCTTACCTGTCCCGCTGTGTCCCAGAGCTCAATGCGCACCGGCGCTCCATCCACCAGGACTTGCACTGCAGGGTCAGGGCGTTGGGGGGACAGCGAGTTAGGAAGAGCGTCCAGGGCCCCACCGGACCTCACCAGCGCCACCTCGGGGCCCGCTCCCGCCTCCCTCCCGAGGGGCTCCCTCGCCCTCCCGCACCCGCGCCAGCCCCAGCCGACGGGTGCACCACCCCACCCCCAACCACGCGGTCGCCGGGGCCGTTGAACGTACCGGAGAAGGTGTCCAGCGCTGTGGGCCGGTAGCGCGCGGGGTACCCATTGCAGGTGTAGCTGACGATGAGGCTGCTCTTGCCCACGGCGCCGTCTCCCACCAGCACGCACTTGATGCCCAGCTCCGGGGGCGCGCTGCCCCGCCGCGGCGGAGGGGTCGGGGCCCGGAGCGGGGACGACTCGGCCTCGCTCAGCTCCCGCGGGGGCATGGCCCGCTCCGGGGGCAGCCCGGGACCAGGCTCCGCTGTGCTCCGGAAAGCAGGTTCCGCAGGGTGCCTCTGACTGAGTCCGCAAAGGCCCGGCGCGCGGTTGCGCCGCTAACCCGGGGTATAAGTGGGGGCCACGCCCACCTCATCTGCATGTCCCGAGCGGCCTGGGACCCCGCCCACCCGCTGGGCCTCCGGCCCCGCCTCCCTCCGCAGTGCACCCCATGAGGCCAGGCAATCACAAACGCCGGGAGGCAGAGAGGCCAAAGGAAAACTGGCGCTCAGACAATCTCGCAGGTGCAAGGACAAAGAATCGCCAAAATGAGGCAGATTTAGGTATCTTGGCGGAGAAAGCTATCCAGGATTTATTGTTAGGAGGAAGAAGCAAGTTGCAACACACATAATACAGCCTGTTCAAATTAAACCTTTGTTCAAAATGAAAAACTAGATATATGTTTGCACGAGTATGAGAGTCTGGATAATAATGTTCTTAATTAAAAAATAATTTTTAAAAATATATAGATCATGGGGGCACCTGGCTGCCTCGGTCCCTAGAGCCTTCAACTCTTGATCTCAGGGATGTAAGTTCAAGCCCCATGTTGGGTTACTTAGAGATTACTTTCAAAAAAAAAAATCTAAAAAAAAATATATAGATCATAAAGAGAAGATAAACTCAAGCATGAACACATCAAGCAGGAATTTACTGTACTCCCAGGGAAGAGCTTCCTCTAGATTAGGCCTGGAGGCAGACCTTAAACACCTTCACTATACTCCGCTAAAGGAATTTGGGGTGCTGGAGAGTCTAGCTGGAGAGGATCACCAAGGACAATTCTCCATTTGAGTATTTTCTAAATCCCCAAATATTATCTTCATCATCATCATCAAAAGCACACAGTAATTACCTATTTGCTGATGCTGTTCTGGGCCACCCACTGTCCTTGCCCCAGAAGGAGTTTACAGACTGAGACAAGATATGCAAGGTAGCTCTAGGAAGGTCACCCAAGAGAGCTAATTTCATCTTTTTTTGCAGCCACATCAAGTGACACCAGGCCCAGGATCCTTTCTCTGAATTCCAAGCCAGTCTTTCATCTCAGCCTGTACAAAGATGGTTGAAAACACCTCCTTCTTGAGTTCTTGCAGGGAGAGTGTTGGGAGGGGAGGAGGCAGTGAATATTAAAGAAAAGAGATGATCCATTTCTTAAACAATTGGTAGTATAAAAATCAATAAATCCAAATCTCTAAATCTCTTGGAAAAAGTCTCAGGATCCCTGATTTTTATTTTTCCTTCCTTCTTTCCTTGTCAAAAATTGAGGACAACACCTAGAAAGTTGCTGACTTAACTGTTAAAATCTTGACTGTGGGAAATGGTAGGTCCTCTCCAATATCACTTCTATATCCCAGTGTCTACATCCTACATTCTCTACATCCAAGTATCTGGGGATACTAATAATCCCAGATTATAGCCCCAAAGACTTCTCAGACTTATCCACATAAGTTTATTCATTTAGCAAATGGAAGAGGCCCCAAAATGTTGTCTTTCTGTTGTCTCCCACAGGAGGTGCAAAAGCTGTTCTTTTTGCTCTCCTGGAAAGGGAGGCAAGAATGGGGATTTGAAAAGACCTGTACATCAAGACACCTGTTCTAGTATTCCTAGTTCTTCAGCTCATTAGCTTTGTGACTCCTGGGAAATTACCTGATCCATCTTAGCATGATAGAATGACAGGTGAAGCCCGTTTATTTCTGAAAGCCCTTCTGGTGCTAGCAATCTGTGATTCAGGGACCCAGGTGTCTCGGACAAAATTACTAGACACACACACACATACACACACACACACATAGAGGCTCTTCTTCACAGAACTCTTGTCCTTTTACCCAAGTTTTAATAATAGTTTTACTGTAGCTGTAAATTTGAGGGTAATCTTGTTTAATCCTTTCTGCAGGTATGAAGGGTATATATAAATAATACACAAATGGGGGGAGGTGTCTGCTGGCATGGGGAAAAGCCCTGACTTGGCCTGCGACAGGCCCCATGGGTGGGGACACTTTCCGACCTAGGTCCCTCTGTCTGAGCTGGTTTAGGGACAGTCATGCCAGCAAGAAGGGGAGGGTGGAGACAACTCTGGGAGCTGGTGAGTCACCTGTTTCTCAGCTAAGGACTTGCAATTGTAGCTGCTGCGGCTGGGAAAGTCCCCTCCTAATGGTGGGTTGTCTTACTCCTGCCCACCTGACAGATCATCTCTCCTAACTTCCAGCCAGACACACATTTGCAAAGATTAAAACTTGGCCCTAACATTCTCCTTAGAGAAATGTTTGATTCAAGGACTGGGGCAGGAAATATACAAAATGAGCCTGGAGCATTCTGTGGTACAGAAAGTAAGGAAGTCCTAAACAAAACAAAGGGAAGATGGAGGTACATCAAACGGACACAGAGCCAACCAACTGAAAGAGTTTCCAAAGGCGAAATCTGGAACAAGTTGAGCAACAAAATTAAGAAGTATTGGATTATATCCCAAAGTATAACATAAATATCCACGAGTCTATTTTGATATAAATAAATGATTGAGCACATAAATAAATAGGCAATCATAGGCAAATCTCCTGCGGAAAATTCCAAATAATGTATGTAGAACCTCGAGGAGGAGCATAACCCCCAACTCCTTCAGGGTGGACTGTACATAGTGACTTCCTTCCAAAGAGGACAGTATGAAAAAGGTGGGGGGAGAAAGAGTAACTTCACAGTGGAGAATCCTGACAAACACTCCTTCAACCAGGTGATCAAGATGAAGAACAACATCGATAAGCCAAGTTGATAGTATGTACCCTTGATATGATGTAAAGAGAATGGCATTTTTCCTCTGTGGTCTTCCCTACTAGAACTCCAGTCTAATCAGAAGAAAAACGTCAGAAAATTTCCATCGGAGAGACATTCTATGAATTGCCTGCCCAGTACTCCTCCAAACTGTCAAGGTCATCAGGAACAAGGAAAGTCTGAAAAACTGCCAAGGGTCAAGAGGAACCTGAGGAGAATGGCAAATGAATGTAAGTAACATGGTGTGCTGGATGGGATTCTGGAGCTGAAAGAGGACATTGGGGGAAAACTGAGGAATTCTGAACAAAATATGAATTTAGTTAATAATAATAGATCAATGCTGGTTCATTAATCATGACAAATATAACCATGTAATGCAAGATGTTCATCACAGGGGAACCTGGGTTGGAGGTATGTGGAAATTATCTTCTCAACTTTTCCTGTAAATGTAAACTGTTCTAAAATAGTTTATTTACTTATTGTTTTTAAAAAAGGAAGAAAGAAAATACCCAAAGAACTAAAACATGGCCCTGACATTGAATCATGGCAGTAATAACCTTTTGTTTCCAAAATGTCGGACACAGGTATATGGGACTTAGACTTATCAAAGTGCTTTCGTTTCCCTGTCTTATAGGAAGCCAGCGAGAAGGCGGGGGAGAGGGTGAGCATACTGGGGCCCAGAGGAGCTAGGGGACTTGCCCAGTTTTAAAGAGGCTAGTAAGTGGTAGACACTTCACCTCAGGTGTGGTCAAGTTCTTAGGCATTTCTGTTGTCCCCTTATCTTATTTAAAATTTACTGCAGGGCGCCTGGGTGGCTCAGTCGTTAAGCGTCTGCCTTGGGCTCAGGTCATGATCCCAGGGTCCTGGGATCGAGCTCCGCATCGGGCTCTCTCCTCGGCGGGAGGCCTGCTTCTCCCTCTCCCACTCCCGCTGCTTGTGTTCCTGCTCTCGCTATGTCTCTGTCAAATAAATAAATAAAATCTTAAAAAATAAATAAATAAAATAAAATTACTGTATACGTTGGGATACCTACGGCAAAACCTCAAGGAGAATAAACCAAACCAGTCTATCCCTACCCCACCATGGTGATTTTCCTACTGCTGGAAAGGGTATTAACAAAAAAACACTGGTTGTGGGGTAGCAGGTACTTAGCAAGGTCAGCGTGCAGGCTCTTTGTGAGAGAAACGCGCCTCGAGCAGTCTTTCTCCAGTTCCCAGGCATACTCCTCTCCAAGGCCTCCAAGTCAGTCCAGCCCGCTGCTCAGAAGGAGCCCTGAGAAAGAATTGTACATTTAACACTTCATTTCTTTGTCAGCCATACCTCAGTAAAGCTGGGAAAAGCACCACTTTTTTACCAACATACTACCGCCATTACTGCTGGTACAACAAATAGACTGCAGAGTTAATTGGTTTTTTTATTTTTTTTATTTTTTTAAGATTTTATTTATTTATTTGACAGAGAGAGACAGCCAGAGAGGGAACACAAGCAGGGGGAGTGGGAGAGGGAGAAGCAGGCTTCCCACGGAGCAGGGAGCCCGATGCGGGGCTCGATCCCAGGACCCTGGGACCATGACCTGAGCCAAAGGCAGACGCTTAACGACTGAGCCACCCAGGCGCCCCGAGTTAATTGGTTTTTCACTGGTTTCTCTACTTGGTGTGCTGGCATCCTGGGAGGGAGTTGGTGGCAAACTCAGCGGCCTGGGCTGAGCTGGCCTCCTGTGTTCCTATCCGCCCCGCCCCCCCCACCGCCCCCGCCCCGCCCCCAGCCCCGGGACAGGATCCTGCTAGCCAACCCTCCAGCCCAGCCCCATCCGTGTTGTCTAGGTCCTCCATGTCCCAAGGCTCGGGCTTCCGCCCTGCCCTGCATCCTCCCCCTAACTCTGTCTTAGCCTCCGCTTCTCCCTGTCTTTCTCTCCACCTCCTCTACATCTAGCTAATCCCAACTGCTGCTGCCCGACCCCCTCCCCCAAGACCTTGCACTCAAGCCCCGGCCAGTATTTTTTAAAGGCCTAGAGGCGTTGAAACCTAAAAAGTTCATCTAAAAGGACTCCCCACTTGGGGCATCTGGCTGGCTCAGTTGGAAGAGTGCAGGACTCTTGACCTCAGGGCCTTGAGTTCAAGCCCCAAGTTGGGTGTAGAGATTACTTAAAAAAAAAAATGGGGCGAGTGCCTGGGTGGTGGCTCAGATGGTTAAGCATCTGCCTTCGGCTCAGGTCATGATCCCAGGGTCCTGGGATCGAGTCCCTCATTGGGCTCCCTGCTCCTTGAGAGCCTGCTTCTCCCTCTGTTTCTCTCTCTCTCTCTCATGAATAAATAAATAAAATCTTTAAAAAAAAATGGGGCGCATGAGTGGCTCAGTTGGTTAAGCATCTGCCTTTGGCTCAGGTCATGATCTGGGGATCCTGGGATTGAGCCCCATATCACATTGGGTTCCCTGCTCAGTGGGGAGTCTGCTTCTCCCTCTCTTTCTGCCCCTCCCTCCGGCCCATGCTCCCTCTTTCTCTCTCTCTCAAATAAATAAATAAAATCTTTAAAAATTTTGTTTAAAAGGACTCCCCTCTTGGGCACCTGGGTGGCACAGTTGGTTAAGCGACTGCCTTCGGCTCAGGTCATGATCCTGGAGTCCCGGGATCGAGTCCTGCATCGGGCTCCCCGCTCAGCGGGGAGTCTGCTTCTCCCTCTGACCCTCCCCCCTCTCATGCTCTCTCTATCTCATTCTCTCTCTCAAATAAATAAATAAAATTTAAAAAATAAAATAAAATAAAAGGACTCCCCTCTTAACTTCTTTATTTCTGACAATGGCAGCATGATTCTCTCAAGCTAATGAATTGGAAAGAGTTGGAACTAAACAGTTTCCAAACACTTGGACTCCTTCCTCTCCTTCTTTAGTCCTCAATCCTTTCTTTCTCTTTCTTTCTTTTTTTGTTTTTTAAAGATTTTATTCATTTATTTGAGAGAGAGACACAGAGAGAGCACAAGCAGAGTGCTGGGCAGAGGCAGAAGGAGAGGGACAAGCAGACTCTCCACTGAGCATGGAGCTCAACGTGGGGCTCCATCCCAGGACCCTGAGATCATGACCTGAGCCGAAGGCAGTCCCTTAACAGACTGAGCCACCCAGGCGCCCCCTCAATCCTTTCTTTGAAGTACTGGACTCCCCTCTTCCTTTTGGCATCCTTTGCCACAATAATCACCTCGTACCTGCCTCCCATCTTTGCTTTGTACATTTCTGGTGCACCCAAGCTTCCTAAGTCAGAAAATTTATTCTGTCACTCTCTCACTCAAAGCCTATAATGAATCCCTCTTATCCACTGGATAGTGTCTGAGTCTCTACCCGGCATCCCACATCCTTCGAGTACACCCCCAGCCCTGCAAATGATCCTTAAGAGAATTTTCAGTGACATGGGGAAATGCTAAAAGATAATATTACGTGATACAGAATTATATAAACAGTTTGAGCCCAAGTATTAAAAAAAAAAAAGTGTACAGGGGTGCCTGGGTGGCTCAGATGGTTAAGCGTCAGCCTTCGGCTCGGGTTGTGATCCCAGGGTCCTGGGATCAAGTCCCACATTGGGCTCCAGGCTCGGCGGGGAGCCTGCTTCTCCCTCTCCCTCTCCCTCTGCCTCTCCCCCTGCTCATGCTCTCTCTCTCTGTATCTCTGTGTCTCAAATGAACACATAAAATCTTTAATAAAAAAGTGTACAGTTAGAATAAAATAGAGTCCTATATGAAGGATGTATATTAAAACATGGAATCAAGGGTGCCTGGGTGGCCCAGTCGGTTAAGCGTCTGCCTTCTGCTCAGGTCATGATCCCAGGATCCTGGGATCGAGTCCCGCATCGGGCTCCCTGCTCAGCGGGAAGCCTGCTTCTCCCTCTGCCTGCTGCTCCCCCTGTTCATGCACACACACACTCTCTCTCTGACAAATAAATAAAATCTTTAAAAAAAAAATCCTGGTGGGCAGCCCACGATCCTTCCCTGAGGCCACAGCACTTGTCTAAATGGCTGGGCCCCAGGTCCAGCCAAATCCGTAGTTGCTTCTCCCCCAAAGACTGGCTCCACTGCCCAAAGTTTCTTCTTGAACAGAAGCTGGGGCCTGATACCACTGAGGTCCATTCACAGCTCTGTGGTTAACCCTAGAGCATGTATTATTCTTTGATGATGTGATGATAATGATGAACATCAGCAACTTTGCAAAAAGAGAACCCAATAAACAAACATTCAATGAATAATCATATCGCTCCAAATTCTCTTCTTGGCATTGTTTATATAAACTAGCATTTTACACACTTGTAAATAAGGAGATCTAAATTCTTTAGCAACTGGTATAGCCTCAGAAAATTGCTAGTCCCGGGCGCCTGGGTGGCTCAGTTGGTTAAGAAAATTGCTAGTCCCTGTGTTGTAGCAGCTTTTTAGAAGACTAAGTTATTCCTTTTTTTTTTTTTAAAAGATTTTATTTATTTATTTGAGAGAGAGAATGAGAGATAGAGAGCACGAGAGGGAAGAGGGTCAGAGGGAGAGGCAGAGTCCCTGCCGAGCAGGGAGCCCGATGTGGGACTCGATTCCGGGACTCCAGGATCCTGACCTGAGCCGAAGGCAGTTGCTTAACCGACTGAGCCACCCAGGTGCCCAAGACTAAGTTATTCCTGACATTAACCTCTTAGTGGCTGGATCCTGGGCAGGAGTGACAGGGTGGGGCACACTCAGGGAAGTGGGTATTTTAACCACTGATGTGGTCATACTGGTGTGTCCCTGCTGAACTTCATCAGTCTGTTTGGATTTGGAATGAGGGTAGACCAAGCAGAAAGGGCTTGGAAACAGGGCTCCTGGGAGGCTCAGTTGGTTGTGTCTGCTTTTGGCTCAGGTCATGATCCAAGGGTCCCGGATGGAGCCCTACACTAGGCTCCCTGCTCAGTGGGGAGTCTGCTTCTCCCTCTCCTTCTCCCGCCACCCCCCCATACTCTCTCTCTCTCTCTCTCTAATAAATAAAACCTAAAAAAGGGTGGCAGGAGGGCTTGGAAACAGCCTGAAGAAACAGCAGGAATCAAGCCCAAGGGAGAAAGAATGTGGTCCATTTTGGAGCTAAAACTAGCTTAGCCTGGCTGGGGAAGAGACAGATGAGCAATGAGCTAGCAAGGGAAGCAGGAATCCGATGAGGTCACACCAGAGCTGCTCTTGACCTTCGGAGTTATTTCACAGGCCAATAGCCAGGCCTAGAGTGACCAGGACGAAGAGTTGTCTCGGGATGCTAAACTTTCAGTGTCAAAATTAGGAGGGCTGGGGGGCACCTGGGTGGCTCAGTCAGTTAAGCATCTGACTCTCTGTTTCAGCTCAGGTCATGATCTCAGGGTCGTGAGAGCAAGCCCTGCATCGGACTCTGCCCTGAGCATGGAGCCTATACTTGAGATTCTCTCTCTCCCTCTCCCTCTGCCCCTCCCCCTGCTCACATGCACTCTCTCTCTCTCTAAAAAAATAAAAATAAAAATAAAATAAAATAGGGGTGACTGGGTGGCTCAGTCGTTAAGTCTCTGCCTTCGGCTCCGGTCATGGTCCCGGGGTCCTGGGATCGAGCCCCGCGTCGGGCTCCCCGCTCGGCGGGAAGCCTGCTTCTCCCTCTCCCACTCCCCCTGCTTGTGCTCCCTCTCTCGCTGTGTCTCTCTCTGTCAAATAAATAAATAAAATCTTTTTAAAAAATAATAAAATAAAATAAAAGATGGAGGGCTGGTCACCCCAACTAGATCTCTATTTTATTCCTGTTAGCACTGGAGTGTGCTCTTTAGAAAGACCACAGCAACTGGACTAGAAACAGAGCAGGATTTTCCAGACCAACCTGAAATCATCATTAGCTATTTTGTGAAAGTACTAATATGAAAGGTACTGGATTTTGTTCACATTTAAATTCATATAAAGCTAGTATTTCCAAATCAAATTCCTTTCCCCTCTTTTACCTCACATTACAATTTCGTTGACGAGAGACAGATTTGCCTGTTATTCAAGAGCATGGGCTCTGGGCCACAGCACCTGGATTAGTATCCATGTTGTGTTACTTACTAGTTGTTGTCCTCTCAGTCTCCTTGTCTGTAAAATAGGGTTAGAATAGTACCCGTCTCAGAGAATGTTGTGGGAATTAAATGAATTATGGAGGATGCTTAGCATAGTGCCCATAGAGAGTGCTCTGCAAGGGTGTTCTATTATTCTTTTTTTTAAGATTTTATTTATTTGACAGAGAGAGAGAGAGACAGCTAGAGAGGGAACACAAGCAGGGGGAGTGGGAGAGGGAGAAGCAGGCTTCCCGCGGAGCAGGGAGCCCGATGCGGGACTCAATCCCAGGACCCTGGGATCATGACCTGAGCCGAAGGCAGACACCCAACGACTGAGCCACCCAGGCGCCCCTAGGGTGCTCTATTATTATGATTATCTTCTCTCTGGGTCAGGGCAATCTTTTCGGATGAAGTCATGGGCCTGCTTGAGAATGAACATTACAGATTTGTCAGGTAAGGTAAGGTTCAGAATTTTGTCTTCTGTGACCCAGATAGGGAACACGGAAAGAAATGAGGTTGTTGTTTTTTTTTTAAAAGATTTTATTTATTTATTTGACAGAGAGAGACAGCGAGAGAGGGAACACAAGCAGGGGGAGTGGGAGAGGGAGAAGCAGGCTTCCCACTGAGCAGGGAGCCCAATGCGGGGCTTGATCCCAGGACCCTGAGATCATGATCTGAGCTGAAGGCAGACGCTTAACGACTGAGCCACCCAGGCGCCCCAAGAAATGAGTTTTTATTGAAGTCGTCATCCTATTATCCTGATTTTGTTACTACCTTTATTTTACAGATGAGGAAACTGAGTCTCCACAGAGTAAAGTGACTTGCCAAAGGCCTAGAGGCTAAGGGAGAGCCAGGACTGTGGAGCCCAGGTTTGTGCTCCAACACCACCCCCTTCTCAGTCCTCCCCTTAAGGATTATGGGCTACAAAGCAGGTTATCTATTGCTTCATTACCTTTTGCCATATAAACACTGATTACATTCTAACATTTAGTCAGAGATCTTTTTAAAATTTTGTGTTGTGATCAACTTCATCTAGATATTACATAGAAGATGCACACATTTTGGGGCGCCTGGGTGGCTCAGTCGGTTGAGCGTCTGCCTTTAGCTCAGGTCATGATCCCAGGGTCCTGGGATTGAGCCCCATGTCAGGCCCCCTGCTCAGCGGGAAGCCTGCTTCTCCCTCTCTCTCTGCCTCTCCTCCCAGTTTTTGCTCTCTCTTGCTCACTCTCTCAAATAAATAAGTAAAATGTTTTTTAAAAAAGATGCACCCATTTTAAGTGTATGGTTCCATGAGTTTTGACCAACGTGTCCTCCTCTAGAGTCACCACCAGCAGCACAATCAAGATATGAAATATTTCCATCTCCCCCACAAAGTTCCTTCTTCTTCCTTTCTAGTCAATCCTCCACCCCCTAGACCAGGTCCCAGGCAAACACTGATCAGCTTTTCTGTTGCTAAAGCTTAATTTTTGCCTGCTTTAGAATTTCAAATAAATAGAAGCATACTCTGTGTACCCGTCTATGTCTGGCTTCCTGTGCTAAACCTGTTTTTGAGATTCATTGCATGTCAGGGTAATTTGTTCTTTTTTATTGCTGAATAGTATTCTCTTGTACAGATGTACCACTATTTGTTCATTCTTTTGTCAATGGACATTGAGTTGTGTCCAGTTTGGGGCTATTATGAATAAAGCTACTATAAATACTTGTGTGTAAATCTTTGTCTGGACAGATGTTTTCTTTCTCTTGGGTAAATACCGAGGCCCGGAACTGCTGGCTCATAGAGTAAGTGCCTATGAAGCAGCTGTTAATTGCTGCACCATTTTATATTCCCTCCAGCAGTGAGTTTACAACCTCACAACACTAAGTATTGGTGACCTGCTTTTTTGGTTTTGGGGTTTTTTTTAAGATCTTATTTATCTAGGGGCTCCTGGGTGGCTTAGATGGTTAAAGGTCTGCCTTCGGCTCAACTCATGAACCCCGGGGTCCTGGGATCGAGTCCCGCGTCAGGTTCTCTGCTCGGCAGGGAGCCTGTTTCTCCCTCTCCTTCTACTGCCTCCCCACTTTTGCTCTCTCACTCTGTCAAATAAATAAATAAAATATTTTTAAAAAGTTTTTTAATTAAAAAAGATTTTATTTATCTATTTGAGAGAGAGAGACAGAGAGCACATGCAGGGGAGGGGCAGAGGAAGAGGGAGAAGCAGGCTCCCCGCTGAGCAGGGAGCCCGATGCGGGGCTGTATCCCAGATCCCAGGACCCCGGGATCATGACCTGAGCCAAGGCTGATGCTTAACCGACTGAGCCACCCAGGCGCCCTTCAGTGGCCTTTTTAAATATTTTGGACTTATTGTTGTTGTGTTGTTGCTATCATTTTTCATTTCGGTAAGAGGCCATATGGGTGAGTCTACAGGCAAGTTTAACTCAGACATATGCAGTGTGATGTAGTGTGTGCTTTAAGTTGGAGGCAGGATGAGGGCTGCTTGTTAGATTTTACCGGGTTTCACATTAATCAGAGAAAGCTTCCTGGCTATCGCATCTTTTGAAATGTCTCCTGGACTAAGGGAAAGATAAGAAGCATAGCAACCAGCTCTGAGGCAGTGCCCTGAAAATCATTATTCCCTGGGCACTGTCCCTAAAGGGACTGTGCCAAAGGTTTGGCTTTCAGAGAATCACGGAATGTTAGAGACGGTCTAGTTCTACCTTCACAGTTTACAGGGGAGGAAAGGAGAGGAACTCAGAGAGGGGAGGCTACTTGTCTAGCGCACAATGAGCATGGAGCCTGATGCAGGGCTCCATCCCACAACCCTCAGATCATAACCCCGGGGTCATGACCCAAGTGGAAACCAAGAGCCAGATGCCCAAATGACTGAGCTACCCAGGCTCCCCTGGTTTTGTTTTCAATCAGTTTATGGATTCGTAGATAGAATGCTTAAATGAGACAAAGTTTAGCATCAATTATCTTCCTATATATTTTTTTTTTGTTTTGTGTTGATCTAAACGCGGAGAAAGCTTGTTCACATAAATGTTAGATGGGAATGGAAGGTTTGATATAGCAATGTCACTTGATTATTTGACTCCTTTCCAAATTATATGCCAAAAATGTTAGTGATTTTTTTTCAATAAGCCAACAGCTGATTAGGTTCTCAAATTGTATTCAAATTAAAGAACCAGAAACTGGGGCACCTGGGTGGGTTAGTCTGTTAAGCATCTGCCTTCGGCTCAGGTCATCATCCCAGGGTCCTGGGTTCAAGCCCCACATCAGGCTCCCTGCTCAGCCAGAGTCGGCTTCTCCCTCTCTTCTTCGTGCTCTCTCTCTCTCTCTCTCTTTCTCTCTCACTTGCTCACACACTCTCTCTTTCAAATAAATAAGTAAAATCTTAAAAAAAAAAAGCAGAAATCATTTGATGGGCAAAGGATTTGTTACCTGTTCTTTGTGGGAATACCAACAATCATTCCAGAGGTCTTTTCGCTGGGCTTCCTACAGATTTTTATCCCTGGAAGGAAGCACCATAGTGTGAAGGGTTTTGGTTTTCCCATCCCAATAGGTGAGTGGTGTATTTTTCTTTGAAAAGTAGGAGCAGGGGAGGTGGGAGAGATCCTGCCTCTTCCTCCCAGGTACCTTCTGCTGGTCACTTTTAGGAAATAGGTGAGGGAAGCTGAGGACACTGATTTCCTTGGTGCTCCATGCCTCTTGGGGAGAGCTTCTCAGCCCCCTAAGGACATGTGAACCCCAGTTTGAGGACCAATGACCTAAGGATGCTTTCTTTTTATTTTTAAAGATTTATTTGTTGGGGCGCCTGGGTGGCTTAGTTGTTAAGCGTCTGCCTTCGGCTCAGGTCATGATCCCAGGGTCCTGGGATCTAGCCCCGCATCGGGCTCCCTGCTCTCCCTCTCCCCCTGCTTGTGTTCCCTCTCTCGCTGTGTCTCTCTCTGTCAAATAAATAAATAAAATCTTAAAAAAAAAGATTTATTCATTTATTTGGGGGGGAGGGGCAGAGGGAAAGTCTTTTATAAGCTTTTTTTTAAAAGGTTTTATTTATTTATCAGAGAGAGAGAGAACACAAGCAGGGGGAGCAGCAGGCAGAGGGAGAAGCAGGCTCCCCACTGAGGAAGGAGCCTGATGGGGGACTCGATCCCAGGACCCTAGCTAGGATCATGACCCCTGCCGAAGGCAGCCACCGACTGAGCATCCCTTTGAAGGATGCTTTCATTTCCCACACAGACAAGTGAAAAAAGTGTCTCTATTCCTTCACTTCCAGTGTCTTCTCTGGGACCACTGGCAGTATAATCCTAGAAGGTGGCAGAAAGAAAAAAGGTAGGTTGGATCCACACATGCCTTGGGTGGGGTTTTGACATGCACTCAGTGAAATAAAGGATGACAGTAACAGGGAGGGGAGGAGGCTTTCTGAAAATCGGGGCTATGGAAACATCTGGAAGGGAACCAAATAGGAAGGAAAGAGATTTATAGTCTCTTGTAAAGGGTTGAGAAGAGGTGTTCTGCATTAGTTAGGGCCTTTTTTCCTTCAATATATTTTAACAATGTGCCAGGCCCTGTCCTAGGAGAGGGTGTGCTGGTACACCTGTCCCTGCCCTCAGAGAGCTTATACAGAGTCACCCCAGGGAGAGGGAGGGAAGGGCAGGAGGGGGAGGGGGGAGAAATGGAAGAGGAACAGGAGGAAGGAGAGAGAGAGGGAGGGTGGGGAGGAGGAAGGGAAGGGGAAAAGGGAGTGAAGGGGCTGGAAAGGAGAGAGAGAGAGAGACTACCAGACAATTGTAACGTAGTAATCATACAAATGTAATCATAACATGGGCGATCAGTACAGGAGGCTGGAGGAGCACCTAGGAGGGCCCTGATCCTGGCAAGGGTAGGAATATCAGCAAAATCTTTCCAGAGGGGTCAGACCCCCAAGACCAAATACTCAAATGTCTGCAGAGGTGTGTTGCATCTGGGAACTCCCTAGATCAGCACATCTGGAGAACTGAGAGATGAGTATAGACAGGTCAGATGGAGTTTAACTGGGGATGATGGGTTTCCTTATAAGTCTTATGGCCCTGTTTTTAAAATTTATACATATATTATGATGATTAAAATAAAAATTAAATTTAAAAACAAATTCCTAAATCTCCCATGCAGAAGAATTCCAAATGACTTAAACTTCACCCTCAAGGAAGCGTAAATCCCCACTCCTTAAGTGTGGGCTGTGTGTAGAGACTTCCTTCCAAAGAAGATAGTATTGAAAGGTGGGGAGGAGGCACACCTGGGTGGCTCAGTCAGTTAAGCAGCTGCCTTGGGCTCAGGTCATGATCCTGGAGTCACATGATCATGATCCAGCCCCACTTGGGGACATGGGGCTCCCTGCTCTGCGGGGAATCTGCTCCTCCCTCTCCCTTTGCTGTCCCCCCACAATGCTCTCTCTCATTGGCTCACTCTCTCAAATAAATAAATAAAATCTTTAAAAAAAAGGGCGAGGGGTCACCTGGGTGGCTCAGTCGGTTAAGAGACTGCCTTCGGCTCAGGTCAGGATTCCCAGGGTCCTGGGTTTGGGTTTCAGGCCGCATCGGGCTCTCTGCTCAGCGGGGAGCCTGCTTCTCCCTCTCCCTGCTCCTCCCCCTGATTGTACTCTCTCTGTCTGTCAAATGAATAAATAAATCTTCAAAAAGGAAAGAAAGAGAGAGAGAGAGAAGGAAAGAAAGAAAGAGAGAGAAAGGTGGGGAGGAAGAGTAACCTTACAGCGGAGAATCTGACAAGCGCTACCAAGGTCAACATCAACAGTGGTGAGTCATGTTGATGGTATATACCCTTGATATGATGTGATGATAATGGTATTTCACCTCCCCCAAACCCATAACCCCAATCTAATTATGAAAGATAACAGACAAATTCCAATAGAGAGCATCCTACAAAATACCTGCTCAATACTCCTCAAAATTGTCAATACTCCTCAAAAAACAAGGAAAGTGAAAAACTGCCAGAGTCAAGAGGAGCCTAAGGAGACATGACAACTAAATATAAGATGATATCCTGGATGGAATCCTGGAACAGAAGGAGAACAATAGGTAAAAACGGAGGCGATCTGAATAAAGTACAGACTTTAGTTAATAATAATGTATCAAGGGGCGCCTGGGTGGCTCAGTCGGTTGAGCGACTGCCTTCGGCTCAGGTCATGATCCTGGAGTCCCGGGATCGAGTCCCGCATCGGGCTCCCTGCTCAGCGGGGAGTCTGCTTCTCCCTCTGACCCTCTCCCCTCTCGTGCTCTCTATCTCTATCTCATTCTCTCTCTCAAATAAATAAATAAAATCTTTAAAAAAATAATAATAATAATGTATCGATATTGATTTACTAATCCTAACAAATGTGCCATACTAATGTTAAGATGTTTGTAGTAAGGGAAACTGAATGTGAGATATGTGGAAACCCTCCACTATCTTCTCACTTTTTCCATAAATCTAAAACTTCTAAAAAAGAATGTGTATTAAAAAAAAAACTAATTTGGGGTGCCTGGCTGGCTCCGTCAGGAGACCATGTGACACGTGATCTCAGGGTCATGAGTTCAAGTCCCATGTTGGGTGTAGAGATTACTAAATAAATAAATAAAAAATAAAACCAAATTACTCAAGTCAATTAAATCACTCCTTTTTGTCTGCGTCTTCATTCAGTCAATTACTACTAATAGTTAACTTGTATTTTTTTTAAAGATTTTATTTATTTATTTGAGAGAGAGAGTCAGCGAGAGAGAGACGGATAGCGAGAGAGAGCATGAGAGCAGGGAGGAGAAGGAGAAGCAGACTCCTTGCTGAGCAGGGAGCCCAACACTGGGCTTGGGGTTGTATCCCAGGACCCCAGGATCATGACCTGAGCCAAAGGCAGAAGCTTAATGGACTGAGCTACCCAGGCGTCCCTAGTTAACTTGTATTGAGCATTTTCCAGGTATAGGCACAGTGCTGAGTGATTTGCATAATATTCTACAATATTCACAATGCTACAGGTGGATTTTTCTCATTTTACAAATGTAGAAACTGAAGCATGAGAAAGGTCATTCATGCAATTGTTTAATAAATATTTATTAGTAAGTTATGACTGCCCCATGATGCTGGGTCTCAGAGTAAATGCCCTGCAGGGGTCTCAGGTGCCACTGTCCAGATTGCGCTCAATCATGTGACCTCTGCCCCACCCTCATCCAGCCCTTCCTCCTCCTGGACAATGGTGACATTGCACCATCTGCCACATCTCCCCAGGAGTCGTCCTGAACCCTTCCTTCATCCTCACATCTAACCGGTCACTAACTCCAGTGGGCTCTTCCTCAGACATGTCTCCCCAGAGTCTTCCCAGTCTACTCTCTCTCCAGGTTGGGCCCTCACCACTTCTCTGCTTCTGCCTCAGGTCTCAGACTCTCTGATGTGGACCCCACCCAAGCCACCACCCATTTTTCTAGAACCCACATCAGATGATCTCATCCCCAACCAAAGTCTTCTGATGGCCTATTCAATTGATTTCATAATCTGGTCACAACTGGTCCCATTTCCTACACTGCCCTACTCCCTGATGCTCCAGCTCCCCAGCCCCCCAACTGACACTGTTTGCAGGCCTATTCTCTTGGTTTTCTTGAGGCCTGCGTAATGCCTTCTCTTTTTTTGCCCTTGGAAATCATGCATGCACTTCAAGTCTTAGCTCAAATTCACCTCCTTTCATACACTATTCCTCTTTCTCCCCGGCCCAGCAGTCAGCCCTTACCTATCTTGTGGCAACAACCACACAGATTGTGAGAGGTAGGAGCTGGTGGATCTGTATCCCCAGCTGTGAGTTCCCTAAGACACTTCAGTATTCCTGTGCTCAGGTTTGTTTGGGGTATTCTCCACAATCAGCTTCTGTTATAGCAAAGAAAAATGCCCATGCTTCTTAATAAAGGGTCAGTAAATGGCCGGGATAAGAAAAGCCATAGCAGTTCTAATGGGGAAGTTGCAGTCTAGGGAGGCTTCATGGAGGACGTGGACTTGAGAGTGACTGTCAGATTAAAGCCACATTTTGAGTTTCCTGAGCATATGCTCTGTGTTGGACACTATGCTAGAGCAATGAGCTTTCACCTAGATCACCTCATTTACTTTCCACATAGACCTACTATGTATCATTATATCTACAGTATTTCTGTGGATGAGGAAACTGAAGTTAAGAGCATCACCTGCGCAGTGTCCAACTAGTGAGTGATTGGGCAGGGATAAGAATGCTGGTCTTGTTCTTACTCCAAAGTCCCACATAAGGATGGGAGGATGAGTATGCAGAGGAATCCTACTGTAATCAACTCAACAGGGAGTGTGCACTGAGTCCATAGTAAGCAAGGCCCGCTTAGGCCCCACCCTATACATCCCAGAGAGCAGTGAAACCCAGGAGGAAGGTTTTAGGGACAGTGAGGAGGTGGCTGGAAGGACTCTGTGTCCCTGAGACACCCCTCCTAGGCTGGCTGGCTCCATGCAAGGGGGACATTTCTCCGCACAGTGCAGACCTGAGGAATCAGCTGTACTCTTTCCCCTTCATCTTGCATTGGGAAATGGAGGGTGTTGCTTAACTCTTCAGCATCTGCTTGTATTTGAACATTGCCTTCTGCTTTCCCCATTTCCTGGCCACCTGACCCTGGACAAATTGCTTTTCCATTCTGAATGTCAGTTTCTGATTTTGTAACATGGGGAAAAGAGCAGTACTTGCTTCTTAACATTAGGGTAAGGGTAAAATGAAATAACAATGATTATTATGAACTTAGTGTGGTGCTTGGCACATTGCTGTCACTCAGTAAATGTACCTTTTATTATTATCTGACCTTAGGCTGGGCCCATTTGTATTTCCCTAATGCATAAGGCAGGTGATCTGGGATGGAGCCTTCTGCACCGAGCAGGGCAGCTCCCTAGCTGGGACCACTTTTCCCAGGGCAGAAACCTCTTGTCTGCGGCTCACCTCTGGCATCTTCCCTTTTCACACCTAGCCTGCCAGGCAGCGCCCTTGGCTGGGAGAGCGGCATTGCTCCTGCAGGTTGTGGGCAGGAGAAGTGGGACCCGGGAGCAGCAGAAAGTTATTCTGGATGGCCTAACTGGTTGCCCGGTCCCAGGCCAAGGCCACTCCAGGTCCAGAAAGCCCAGAAAGCCCTGGGTGGAGGCTGGTCAGGGTTCAGTCCTCTGCGTCTGGCAGGGAAGTTCAGCAAGTAAGGGGACCACACAATATACGGTGCAAACCAGGACGCTTTTGAGAGTAAAGGGAGCTCTTTTAGTCATTACGCACAGGCTATGCGTTAAAGCCAGGATGGCGGTGACCCTGGCCAATAGCCTTCCATTCTAAAGATTTTTTTTTTTTTATTGAGAGAGAGAGAATGGTAGAGAGAGAGCATGAGAGGGAAGGTCAGAGGGAGAAGCAGACTCCCTGCTGAGCAGGGAGCCCGACATGGGACTCGATCCCGGGACTCCAGGATCATGACCTGAGCCGAAGGCAGTCGCTCAACCAACTGAGTCACCCAGGCACCCAATAGCCTTCCATTCTAACAAGGTAGAGTCCGCGAGTCCCAGAAGGGAACAGACTCCGTCTGGGTGGCCCAAGCAGGTGGAAGAGGGAAACTGAAACGGAGTCGCACTCCACATTCCCTCGCTTTGGACTCTCCATCGGCGTTCAAGGTCACTTGTCCCCTCGTTCCTGCTTTGCGCGTATTTGCCCCTCTGGGCTCCCCACATTGCTGTGGCCATGTCCCTGGGTAAGCCTCACGAGGGCTGAGACTTTTTTTTTTAAGATTTTATTTATTTGAGAGAGAGAATTAGAGAGAGAGAGAGAGCACGAGAGGGAAGAGGGTCAGAGGGAGAAGCAGACTCCCCGCCGAGCAGGGAGCCCGATGTGGGACTCGATCCCAAGACTCCAGGATCATGACCTGAGCCGAAGGCAGTCGCTTAACCAACTGAGCCACCCAGGCGCCCGAGGGCTGAGACTTTTGTCCGTTTTGGTCTGTTGTGCCGCCCCCAGAGCCTGGAATAGTGGCTGACCGAGAGTGTGAGCTCACTTGTGGAATAAGTGAGCTTTTGAACAAATCCACCCATCGCTTGCCTAGCATTATCTGTTTACTGGTCCATTGTCCCTGCTAGTTTATGACCTTCAAGGACGATATTGTACTTACCTCTGTGACTCCAGCACCCAGCCCAAGGCTAGGCACAAAGTTAGTGCTCAACGCTATTTTGAATGAGTGAATGGAAGCAGACCCGCACCGCTTAGCTGTGCTTGGTCTTTTCTGCCGCCCCTTCTGTCTCTCCCCACACCGAGGAGCCACTACGGAGCTGGTTAGAGGCCGGTTAGGTAGCTCTTGGCTAAAGAGCTAGAACTGCTTGCCTTTGCCTTGTGAGGATCAAGACACGGACTAAACTGAGAAGCGGGAGGTTCTCCTGAGGCAGCAGCCTGTCTGGAGAGGTCGGAGCGGGAGCTGGACACGGAGGCTGAGCGGTCGCGGTCGCGGTCTGACGGAGGGAAGGCTGGGCCTGAAGGGAGTCGGGGACTGGCTTCGAGGCCGGGGCTGGATTCCGCGGCACGGTGGGGAAGGGCCTGTAAAAGCCGGGATTGCCCCCTTGCGTCAGAGCTCGGAACTGCACCAGGGTCCTGGAAGGAAGGACCTGTACTCAGAGGAGCCAGCCCAGCACCCAGCCCGACCGCAGCTGTGACGCGTCCAGGGCTCCGCCTCAAGCCGAGAACTCCCGCAGCACTTCCGGCTCCCGCCCTGAAGAGCTGACTGGGCCCAGGCCCTGGCCCGCCCCCCCTCTTGGCCCCGCCTCCTCCTCCGTAGCCGTCGCCGCGCCTAGCTGAGGCCGGCGGGGGTACGTTCCCTACGCGAGTAAACGTGTGGCTCTGAGAACCCGGAAGTTACGTTATAGGCGCGCGTCCCGGGGGCGGGAGTCAGCTGAGCTGCTGGGGCGAGGTTGGGATCTTCTCAAATCGGCTAAAGGGAGCCAGTGATCTTCTGGGGGGCGGGAGCGGGGTGCAGGACTGCGCCAGATTCAAGGGGGAGGGCTCCCCGGTCTTTTCGCTTTGTAAGGCGGGAGTGAGAAAACCCTCGGGATTTTAAAGAGGAGTGGGCGGCGGATTGCCAAAATCTGTCAGATTCTTGTCGAGGCTGGGGAGACGCAGTTTCCAATCCAGGGCGACGGGGATCCCTGGGGGGAGCCCTGTTGTAATCCCTGGGCCCGACACGGAGGGCCCAGAGGCCGGGCACCATGGCGTCCATCCTGGATGAATACGAGGACTCCCTGTCCCGCTCAGCCGTCTTGCAGCCTGGCTGCCCCAGCGTGGGCATCCCCCACTCCGGTAAGGGAGGGGAGGGCGCCGCTCATCCTGTCCGCTCACCTGGCACCTGCGGGGGAGGATCCGGGGAGTAGCTCCAGGAGGTCCGGTTCACCGCCTGGCGGTGCAGTCCAGGTCTAGGCCCCTGATTCTCCTCAGGGGCTCTTGGCCCCCAGCTGGTGGATGGTCGAAGTTTGAAAGAGCATCAAGAGCAGTCTCGTGATCTAGGCCCTGCCACTAGGGTCCTAAGAGGAAACTGGGACCCAGATAAGGAAGTGGCTTGTCTACAGGGCCGCAGTTGAGAGAACTGAGAATAGGCTCCAAGGCTTCAGCCAGAGTCTATGCTTTTCCTACCAGGCCCCTTCGGCAGGTGGGAAGAAGAGAGTGGTCAAAGAAAACGGTGGAAGGGGAATGTTGTAGGGGAAGGAAGGCTGGTCTTAGAGGGAACTTTGTCACTGAACAGGGAAAATTAAGTTATTTTAGGCCTTTGCTAGATCTGGGTGCAGCTTGGTGTTGAGGGGAAATTTTTGTAGAAAGTAGGACAGAGTTGGCAGAGGGGTCTGAAGTGCGGGGATATTCTGTGCAATGGTAAAGACATGAGCGGAAAGGTAGAGAGAAAGAAGAGGCAGTTTGATTGGAACTGTTCCCCAGGGCTCTCTCTGCCTTCATTCTTCTGGAGGCTCAGTGAGAACATTATTGCACGGGCAGGGAGGAGGGGAGAGAGTGGATCTAGAATACTTTAGTTGAGCTGGGATTGCTGGCCCCAAGATTGGTAAGGGAGAAAGCCCAAGCCTTGCCCCCCGCATTACCATTGGGAGCAGGTACATGACCGTTTAGCAGCAGTCCAAGGGTTCAAAGAATCCACCCCTCATGGCTGTCAGAGGTGTGAAAAGAGCCCAGGATCCCTAATGTAGAGGTGATTAGCAAACTACCTGATATATTGATATTAAGCTTTTAACCAAGGGCTTGGGGTAGGGATATGTTGGGAAGGTGGAGAGGAAACTTGTTTTGTTGCCTCTCTTTGTCCTTCCTCCGCGTTTTCCATACCTAACCTTTAATTCCCTCCTTTCATGTAGGGTATGTGAATGCCCAGCTAGAGAAGGAAGTGCCCATTTTCACGAAGCAGCGCATTGACTTTACCCCTTCTGAACGAATTACCAGTCTTGTCGTCTCCTGCAATCAGCTCTGCATGAGCCTGGGCAAGGATACACTACTCCGGTAAGTGAGGGCCCAAAAGGCTTAGGAGTAGGGAGTGGATTAGTGGTATTTGGGGACTAATCACTGACTAGGGCCTTTCTTTCACTCTGGGCAGGTGAAACAGTAGATTTGGATTTTTTTTTTTTTAATAGGTTGATTTTTTTCTTTTTTTTTTTTTTTTAAAGATTTCATTTATTAGAGAGAGAGAGAGACAGAGAGGGAACACAAGCAGGGGGAGTGGGAGAGGGAGAGGCAGGCTTCCTGCTGAGCACGGAGCCTGACGTGGGGCTCGATCCCAGGACCCGGGGATCACAATCCGAGCCAAAGGCAGACACTTAACAACTGAGCCACCCAGGCGCCCCTAGATTTGGAATTTTCCAAAAATATCCATTCCCAAAGAGAATTAATGTAGTATAGTAGTTAAAATCAGGTAGACCTGGGTCAGGTCCCAGCTCTCCCACTTAACAGCTAGGGAATGTTGAGCAAGTCACCCGGTCTCTCCAAATGTGTCCCTTCATCTGTTAAAGATAGTACCAACCCACAAATTGGTCATATTGATCAGGGGAACTGTCTAGAGTCCTGAAATAAATCCAGTATAAATGGAAATAATATATCCCAATAAAACTGGAAATACATAAGTGGAAATAATACATAACAAAAGTATCAGCAAAATTGTTTATCCAGAATAACCATCTGGGATAAAACAGAGGTAAGCCTCTATATCACAAAAATAAATTCTAAGTGGAATAATTATTTAAATATTAGAAATAAAGTGAATATTTATTCAGGGTAGCTGGGTGGCTCAGTCGGTTAAGCATCTGCCTCTGGCTCAGGTCGTGATCTCAGGGTCCTGGGATTGGGCCCCATGTTGGGCTCCCTACTCAGCGGGGAGTCTGCTTCTCCTTCTCTGCTCCTCCCCCCACCCCTCTCCCCTCACCTCTCAAATAAGTAAATAAAATCTTTAAAAATAAAAAAAAATATATCAAAAGAATATTTAATGGGGGTACCTGGGTGGCTCAGTCAGTAAAGCATCCGACTCTTGATTTTGGCTCAGGTCGTGATCTCAGGGTTGTGAAATTGAGCCCCACGTCAGGCTCTGTGCTAGGCACTGAGCCTATTTCAGATTCTCTCTATCCCTCTCCCCCTCCCCTGCCTTTCCTCCATCCCTCTTTAAAAAAATAAAAAGAATAAAAGAATATTTAAGAAATGTCTGTGTTCTTGGACCGAAGGGAGATTTTCTTACTCAAGCTAGAAAATCCACTAGGAAAAAGATAGATATATTTGACTACACAGTAATTGCTGTTATGACAAAATAACAAAAAAACTTTTGAGAGGCACCTGGCTGGCTCAGTGGGAAGAGCATGGAACTCTTGATCCTGGGGTCCTGAGTTCGAGCCCTACCTTGGGTGTAGAGTTTACTTAAAAAAAAAAAATAATACAGGGCGCTTGGGTGGCTCAGTCACTTAGGTGTCCTTTTCTTGATTTCCGCTCAGGTCATGATCTCAGGGTTGTGAGATCAAGTTCTGCATCAGTCTGGGCGTGGAGCCTGCTTGAGATTCTCTCTCCTGGGGTGCCTGGGGGGCTCAGTCAGTTAAGCGTCGCCAGCACCATAGGTTACTGTTTCTAATTTTTGCCAATCTGATAGGTTAAAAACATGGTACCTTACTGTTATTTACCAAAGGTTGAAAGTATTTTTAGATGTTTACTAGAAATGTAGAGTTTCTCTTTTGTAAACTGCTGGTTTATATTTTTTGCCCTCCCCTATCTACTGAAGTGTCTTTTTCTTACTAATTTTTAAGGACTTTTTAAGGAATAGGGATTTAAATCTGTAGTCATATGTGGAAAAATATCATTTTCCCACCATCTTTGATTGTGACCTGATTCAAATACTTTGATTCTTTGGTTAGAATGAGCATATTATTTGAAAAGAATTTAATAAGGGAAATATAAACAGGAGCATTCCTCAAGGTTATCATGAAGATTCATTGAGCTCTATTGGGTTAAGCTCTTGGCATGGTGCTTCATATATAGAAAGTGCTCAGTACGGGGCGCCTGGGTGGCTCAGTTGTTAAGCGTCTGCCTTCGGCTCAGGTCATGATCCCAGGGTCCTGGGATCGAGCCCTGCCTCGGGCTCCCTGCTCCGCGGGAAGCCTGCTTCTCCCTCTCCCACTCCCCCTGCTTGTGTTCCCTCTCTCGCTGTGTCTCTCTCTGTCAAATAAATAAATAAAATCTTAAAAAAAAAACTATTATTATTCAAGAAATAAGTTTAAAGAAGACATGTTTGGGGGCACCTGGGTGGCTCAGTCCTTAAGCGTCTGCCTTCGGCTCAGGTCATGATCCCAGGGTCCTGGGATCGAGTCCCGCATCGGGCTCCCTGCTCGGCGGGGAGCCTACTTCTCCCTCTCCCACTCCCCCTGCTTGTGTTCTGTCTCTCTCTCTATCAAATAAAATAAAATATTAAAAAAAATAATAAAGTGCTCAGTAACCATTAACTACTGTTTGTTCTCTTTTTTTTTTTTTTTAACTTTTTATTTATTCATGAGAGAGAGAGGCAGAGGGAGAAGCAGGCTCCCAAGGAGCAGGGAGCCTGATGCGGGACTCAATCCCAGGACCCTGGGATCATGACCTGAGCCAAAGGCAGATGCTTCACCATCTGAGCCACCCAGGCACCCTGTTGTTCTCTTTTTACCTCAGCAATCTGGGATACCCCTGCCTGTCTTCCCAGACGCACTGCACATCTACTGAGCAGAGGAAAAGACCTCTGTTCAGTGACTTCTCAAAATGAGGTGGGGGAATTCTCAGAGCGGAGGGTTCTTAAGTAGGACCCTGTATGTATTTCAGAGTTCCCTTGGGATGGTATGCAGAATTGTATGCGTGTATATAGATTTCAGGGCAGAAAGGCTGTGGCTTTCATCAGATCATAAAGAGATCTGTGATTCCAAAAAAGGATCTACCCTTCTCTGGAGTGATGCTGTGACTCTTGTCTCGACAGCATTGACTTGGGCAAGGCAAATGAACCCAACCACGTGGAGCTGGGGCGCAAGGATGATGCCAAGGTTCACAAGATGTTTCTGGACCACACTGGTAAGGGGGGGGGGGGGGGGGGGCAGG